GCCGGAGAGTGGGTTGTTATTCACGTTAATAGGCTAATGATGCTTATGGGCAGCAGGTGCAAAACCTAATTGTTTACTTCATGTCGATTATGATTCCACAAGAAAATCCTTGAACTGGGAGGTAGGAAGCCCGAAGCTGAATGGATGATTTTTTTATGATTTTTGTTGATTTTTTTCTAGTGGCGAGTTATTGTGGCTGTACACTCGAGTAAGAGACACGCCCAATTTGCGCAGTCAATTCTATGACTCCCGTAAATGCACAACCCTTTTTTGTCAATTCACTGGTGGATGAGGGCCTAACCATGCTGAGGTGTCGTTAGGGTTATTGAACCACAATTCACTACGCTGGTCAGTGTGCGCTGCCAAAAGTCAACGAACATAGACGTGGTAATACCGTACAGTACAACAAAAAAAATTTCTGCATGCTCTCCACTGCTCATAACGTAGCACCACTGTAGCCTGTAACACTCAATTCATAGATATGATCGCCCATCCATGCACTATACAGGTTCAACGTCGATTCGTTTCAAGATCTGATGAGATTGGGTGCATGACAGGTGATTTGGCCACAGGAATTACTCTGGTATCTCCACATGTATTTTTGCAGCCTGATGTGTTCTTTTTAACCCTGCAACATTACCACTCACTAGAGATAATGGAGTTCCACTAGCACAATCAAAAATCCTATCATTTATAAGTTACACATATACATGTAATACATTATTCATGTTCTTCTGCACAATATAACAGATAATGAATCTCAATAGACTCAACTGATTAAATAAAGGAAATCAATCAATGCATAATTTGTGTCCTAAATTGACGGGTTAGGGCAATTGAGCGCACGCCTGAGCAGTACCTCACACCCCAAATCTGTGGAAATATAAGGTCACTATTAGAGTAAAATTATAATTTCATAGCAATTTGGTCCTTATCTAGTTAGTTATTAACTATCCATTCTCAATTTTAACAGATCAAATAAAACCTCGGTTGAACACTTAAAAAAATGAAAAACTTCTAAATGTTTCACACGAATCAGCAGGATTTAAAAAACCATGGTGCTCTACTTTAACTTCGGGCCGCCAGAGTAATTTTAGTCACTGCTGGTGAATATTACATTTCATTGTCATAGTGTCCATGCACCACCTATTGGCCACTGCCAGTGTATGCAAGCACAACTGTGTTTTCAACAACGCCCTGTTGACAAGCTGTTAGTTTTAACTCCCACCCGCAGTAAATTATCAACCTAAATATGTCCTTCATCAAATTAAGGGTCAGTGCTGTACTGCACCAACACTGCAACCCCATTTTGGGTTGAAAGGTCAAGTTATTAAACTACGAAATTGGCAAAGGCAAGGTATTTTCATCAGCGGAGCTGCTGATACGGATATTAAATTCCCTCCCTCCGCAGACTTTAATGGGTAATTCACGAGCGATCTTATCAGCCGAGGAAAAAAACATAATTATAACTTTAATCAATAACATTAGCCTTGTTGGTTTTAACGTCCTACTGTATAGTGTGCTTTTCTCCAAAGCAAGTGGTGTGCTCGGGTGTCTGAGGGCATGCTATGCAAACAGCTTCTGCACACACATAGCTGGATATGTGATAACGTGCGCCAATGCAGACGTAAAACGATAAGAGCCGTTACATGACCTGCTACGGTAAACAGACACAAACAGACCTGGTCAAGAGTTTAGCAGCGGGCAGGTGCAGTGTATTATTGTGGCAAAGTGTCAACAATTATCTTGTTTGTCTTTTGGACAAACTAACCCAAACGCACGCGATATGTGCCGTGAGTCTACACTAATGATATAAACCAACAGGCATCATGACGTGGGTATGGCTCTGACACAAGCACACACATGTGACTGAAAAAACACCCAGAAGAACATTTCATTTAAATAATTTTATCCGTATGTTTTGATTTCCTGGAATTTATAAAAGATACATTACCTTCTTCACTTTAAACTGTCATGGGGTAAAATGTTTTTTGTGCCCAATCCCTTATGGCTGTGATATTTACCAATAACTCAAGGGGTATTGTGGGACCATTTATCTGACATTCAGCTCTAAAACATAAATTAATAACCGTGCCATGCTTTACATGCAGCTAGCGCTGTAAATAATTCGCTCTATTTGTTTATCTAAAGTAATGTCCTTAAATAAAGTTTACATACATATTTTGCTTCTGTAGGTGGATCATGTCTATGTATGTAATCGTATAATTTTTACTGTGGAATATTTATCTGTCGAATTCAGTTTTCATTGTAAAAGGCCCAACAAATATAACTGTGCTTACCGATTGGATTCCACGTACACATTTTGGCTGGCAATGTAATGCAAGGGTAACTGTGGTAGAGACAGATAGGCATTATCCTTCATTGATCCAGCAAAACACTGCCACGTATGTGCTGGTAACTAGCGGGTCACAGTCCATTGTATTCAATGTAAAACTTCTATACAACTGGCTTTAAATACCACCATTAGAAACATTTGTATGCATAAGGTACTTTGTAATGAAAAAGCGGTTAAATATTAAACTCATGGTAGGTTCCAATAGGTTAACTTAAAACACACACACACATTGTCTTGTTAAAACTGACAGACGGTTAAACACGGGATGACACAAACCGGCGCTAAAGCACATTTTTAGCTCAACAGGCATCTTACTTTATACAGTAATTCGAAATGCGAGGGGTTGGGGGGGAGGGGAATGAATGACGAACCGTACGAACAAGAGAATGGCATATAAGAGACCAGGCGAATTGGGGTGAAGTGAAAAGCAACAATGACTGCGTTGAAGCTAAGCAGTTGCCGGAACACTGAACGAACACTGCAACCGCTGCTCGCTTCGTGAGAGTAAACCCGGCCTGCAGAACTCAATTTCGCCTCCGCCGCCACCGTGATGCGCGCACACAGATATTCTTTCGCATCAGCATGGCTCGCGGCACATTTGTATTCAAGCAAAAGGGACACACTAATAGGCGGCCTCTAACAACAATGCAAACAAGCGGCTCAAAACCATCACCTGGGCCGCATGAAACAATTTAAGCCTATGTCAACAGCAATTTGTCATGCTATTTACAGTACCAATATTGACTCGCGGTCCACGGCTGGGCAATGGGCCCAAGCATTCGTTGCTCTGTTTGGTTAACATTACAGACAGCAGCAGAGCAGCCTGTCCAAACAAAGGCTTAGGAGTCAACAAGGCATTGTTACCAGGCTAAACATGTTTGCCTTTGGCCAACTCCCATCTATGTCAACACTCTCAAAACAAATGTGGTTCACCTTTAAAATTTCTTGCCCATAAACTTAAAGTCTAACATCGGCAGTTCGCATCATTTTGCTTAAGGTGTAGATTGCGAAACCGGTTGTTTTCAAATCAAACCGCCAATAGTCAGCTTTGACGTAAATTTAGCTGTTTTTTTGTAATGTGTATTTAATTTCTGCTTTACTTAACTTAAAGGAAAGCAAATAAAGGTTTATCATTGGTCAAATACACCTACAAAATACACTGCACGATAAAATGGACTCCTGTGAATTTTAAGAAATTCCAGATATTAGTTGCCAACATCTTACAAATGTTTATATAAACATACCTTTATATAAATACTGACTGGTTCACCCTACAATGCTGACATGAGAATTTCATCCCCAGCCACATACCATCAATTTTATAACAAGGCATACACGCCTGAGCTTGCTCAGTTGGGAATTTCATCCACTGGCAACATTTCACTTTGTCAGTATTTGCATAAAAATGCTGATAAAGGGACTGGAATACAGAGTCCAAAATGGATGCCATAACTGTCAGGCTATACAGCAACTTTGAAGAAAGAAAAACATGCGTGCCTGCACACAAGCCAACCATGATGTTGTAATAATTTAGTAAAGCTTGGGTGAAGAGTTAAAGAGTTATTTACAAAGATAGCCTGATTGTGTACAAGAACAGACATTAGAATATGAAAAAGGCCACGGTGGGCAAAAGGGAGAGATTAAAACAAAATACACCAACATAATTCTAATTACGCTTCCAGTCTGGGTTTTGGTGTTTCGGATACGGGGGAAAAAAGAACAAGTGGAGATTTTCTCGGCAGGTGGGGAACTAAGTTGTTTGGGAAAGTGGATGAGTGTTGGCAAGTGTGGGTGGGTTAGAGACGGAGTGCAGCGATGTCCCTCCAGAGCAGTGACCGGTTGGGATAAATTAAACCGCCATCTAATAATCTGTTTCCCCCCACCATCAATTACATCCGCATCTGTGGATGCTACACCAAAAATTCTGGATGGGTACATACATGACAATATGCATATTTTATTCACTGATATTTGATTATGTATCTACTTGCATTTTTGTTATTGCATGTAATCCTTGTGTTAATTAAGCAGTTTTTGTTTCGCCTATAACTGGGTATTCCTTGCAAAAAACACAAGAAATCTAATTTGTGGGGCGTGCATCAATTACTTTTATTTGAAATAGTTATTAAAAATAAAGAATCCAGGTTTGTAGCCTAGTGGTTGGCGTGATTGCCGCTGTGGTGGCTTTAAATGGGGTCCACTCAGATTTGATTCATGCAGCTGCAAGGTAATACCGCAGGAAATCACTAAAGTTTAAGTTCTGGCTGTTAAGTGAGTTTTAAACACCAATTGGCATTTACAAGAGCCAGCCTTTGCCACCCAAGTCTTATTGTTAAAATCATAAGCTCATGTAAGCTCTAATGAGAAAAAAAACACTTAATTTCATCAAAATTGTTTTACTAGTTTAATGGAAATGAATGTATCTATTAATATTACCCGATGTTCTTATACGTATTTGACTCCCCTCTTCTTTCGATTCCCTTCTCATTCCTCTGGCAATATTGCATTTTTAGGATGAATATTGAAAGTGCAAAACCGAAATCATAAAACCTAATACAAGTCAATCCCTCTACCTGCCCAAGCAAACCCAGAAAAGTGGAAGGAGAGGCTGGAAGCAGAAGAGCAAACTGGAAATGCAACTCACCATCTTAAGCTGCATCTCAGCTTGCTGCATGGCATCCTTTACACCGGTGTCTTCTCCCATGCCGCCCTCTGGCTCCACGGCACTGCTGCTCCCCAGAAAGATGCTCAGCTCGGTGCTGTAATGCAGGACGCCCGTGTTGAGTGCAGCAAAGTGATGCCCCATGCATCGCAGACATGCGGCACGCACCACAGTCTGGAGGGATTGAATAATCATCATCGTCAAACATCATCATCATAATCTGTATGTAAAAACCAATTCAAAGACAATTGATACAAACATCTCTTTTGCAAGGGAGACCCAGGTGCAAAAGAGATATTTTCTGCAACACAGACTCAATATAAATTTAAAGAAACAACTCGTTTAAGGGCTGTAAACTGCTTTACCATCATAATAATCAACAATCACAATTAACTGAAAAACATATACAGTATAAGCTACCGTTGTAGGCAGTGGCACTTATTTAGAAATGATGTCAATGATGGTAGTGAAACATTTCCATCTTGTGGTTATGCATATCCAATGCAACAGTTGAAATCTTTTCAAAAGTTGTTGAACCAAATGGGATGTGTATGTCCTCAGTGAACGGTTTAAGATAATTAATGTTTGAAATATAACGATTTTCTTTCATGAAATGTAATCATGACAAAATAGATAATTTTTATTCTTGAAATAACCTTTTTGTTTATATTTTGGACCCCCGTGTTAGAACAATGCTCACATTTACGATTTAGATTTACATAGCGTCTAAATGCGATTATGTCTGAAGATGTTGGACATTACAGGAGATTTACAACCACAACTCTAACAATCACAAAAAAAGTTCCTCAGGACCAGTCGATGTCTGTGTCATTTTTGACAAAGTGAATTAATGTTCAAAAGTTCCCATGAGAATGTTTCTGCAACCAATAGGCAACTTAAAAAAATAAATGTATTAAATATAAGCCTTCAGCCTGTCCAACTTTTTATCTCCTACTACCTTCGGCTTGTAGCCCTGGACAAGCCAAAATGTATTTGTTGAGCTGTGCAGCAAAAAATAATAATCTCAAAGTACGATTTAAAAAAGAAAAATATTGAAACAAGGCTTTTTTCCAATGCTTGAAAAAGACCTAATAAAATTCATACAAGACAGGTGTTAATAGAATTAACTTTTAGAACCATATGAAACAAAGTTATACTCAGCCTGCCATAAGAGGAAACAAAACAATCGACCTCCCAGATGTTTTTTTCTACATAAAACACTCCTTTACATGGCCCATTGCTGCAAGCGCCTCATGGGCTGATGAGCAAGGGTAGCACATAAATAAAACATCTCGCCTCAGCTCGTGCCAATCGGCTGTCTATTGGATTACACACCCACAAAAATATGTATACAAAACATATATTGAAGAGCACTTGGGAGCATATGATCATTAGCCCTCCTTTCCCTGTACATGTGTGTCTCTGCTTCCAAACACGCAACCACCATCTAGCCCCTCTTTGTTAACATTCTCGCGATGCATTGGGTTTACGACAGCTTTAGCTGGCAACGGAACACCAACCCGTTCACACCATGCAAAACATTTTTTTTCTCAAGTCTGAGAGCGTGAAACATGCGGAATGGACAGAGGCTAAGCAGAGTGCCCTGGCCCATGCAATGGCAATGGGTCACGTTCCCTGGCTAAACGCTGCTGTAAATTTCACAGGAATGACAATGCTCTCCATTGTCTCTGTCCTGCAGGAGGCATTTTCATTTTCTGGCAACCCAATAGGAATAACCATAAAAAAATTGGAAAACGTAGGTGCTTAAACATTTACGAAAAACATGTCCTAAAAATGGGACACTTTTTTTCAAGTGTCATCTGTCTACCATATGCACCAGCGCAATCCATTATGCAATGTGTAGCGTCAGAGTTACAGTTATGGATCTGAATCTCAGAAACGTTACAAATGAGCGTGGGCCATTCGGTCCATCTAGCTCGTTGGGGCAGGAAACCACAGACAAACGAAATGGCAGCTAGACACCAGTGCCAACGATTGCCTAACTTCTGTCGTCTGCCAGTAGGGATCTTTAACGTCCACTGTTAAAACAGACAGCGCATATTGTTTTACGGTTAACACACCCGCAGTATGATTCAGGGCAGCTGTTGGATTCAAAACATAAAACTCTACAACAAGCGGGGAATGCGTGACCGTTAGGTCATGTTTCTTTAAGTGGTTAAAGATCACCTGAACATCACCTGTCTTCTAATCTTCACGCCACTGCTGTTACATAACACTCTGCTCTCAAATTAAATTTGTTCCATTTACCTTCAACCTTCCATCAAGTTTAGCACTAACGGAAATCTTTACTTCAACTCTACTGCTTCAAATGCCTAAATGAACATTTATGTTCTCGATACCTCGTATATTTAACTACCGTGTTTGCTTCCATAAATATGTGATAGTCTTTCCTTATTTTCGCTGCACTCATTATAAAGACAGACAATTATTTGGACTTTGAAGCTCTAAACACAATAGTGCACTGCATCTTCCCACGGCTGGCACTTTGAGACCAGCGTAACACCTGTTTGCCATTTGTTAATGCAGTCCATTTGATGTTGTACGTCGATAATGCCACACGCGGTTACTCGTTGTTGCTTTATATAACCAATCCCAAACGAAGCGTGTTGGGCGACACTAAAAAACACTTAATCAAAAACGAGGTCACGAGGACACGCACAGAATGTAGGAGACTCCACTCAAGTGTCCGGCTTTAACGCACCCACTGGCCCTGACAACGCACCTGCCACGCAGACCACACTGTCAGTTGAGCCAGTGATGATGGCAGGAAATTCACGTGATACGCACAGTACCCTACATGCGTCACAACCTCCGCACGGCGAAAATGCCACTATCTGGTCCAGGTTTTTTTTATGCGTCCCCAGCCATACAGAACCAAGAGCATCCTTCTAAAGGAAAATACTCCTGTTCCATTCCCACTCATCCACGACCCTGCCTTAAGACTCGAGGCCATGACGGTTGGAGACAAGTGGGCCTGAATATCAGCCAAGAGGGCCCCCACACTCTCCGGTTACAAGTCGCTCCGACGTAACTGCTGACGTGAATGGAGACACTTTCTCAGGTCGTGGCAGCGTGTTGTAACTCATCTCCAGTTATTTGTGCTGCTCTAAATTTCACACCATTGCCCAGACCAGCCTGATTCCCCCGTGTGCTTTTTAGCACCAGATGCATTCCACTCTCGATGATTTATAGGGCAGCCCTTTAGGGTAAACAATGCCATAAAGAGTCTTTTTACCCTGCAAGACATGGTGTAATTATAGCCAAAGCATTGAAGGTGTCATTTGGCAATCTGGTGCATATTCAGCAAAATCTGCCGAGAGAGCCAGAGGTAAACGTTAAAGAAAGAATTAAAAGGGTTGTGCAGCAATTGACATTTACAGGAACTTGTATGCATTATTAGACTGGTATCTAATGTTCACAATCTCAAAATATCAGTAAAATAACATATGTTGCATCATAATATAGACATCTTAATACCAACATTAATCTGTTCAAGTATTACATGTGTTAATGATGACGAACCATTTTGGATGGTGAAATTATTATAAAAAAAATTTAAACATTAAATTCGATCAGAAAACCAACCAGACCTGGTGCTACTTAATCAAATTTGAATAGGAATGAGCCATTATTAGGTAATCGTGAACCCCAAGCATACCAAGACGATTTATGCCCACAATTGTCATGCCAGGGAACTGATTTCCTGATCATGAGGTCAAATGGCAAGGATGCAATTCTGAAAGCTTCGAATAGAGGTCGCTCCTACATTCTTTGACCCTACAATGGGAGATATTTTAGACTATGAGAGGTGCAACAGTATCCGTTCATCGATTAATAATTTCCTAAGCTCACAAAACAGGCGTTGAATAGTACACATAAAAATCTATGTTCTTCAAATGGGTATGTTATATGTTATGGCTGAATGCGACCCCTGTAGCCACTAGTGGCCACTAAATTCAAAACAATGCTTTAGAACTTTTTTATTTCATCATTACCCCAAATGGTAACAATCTATCGAAGCCTCGGGAGAGTGAATCATTATACCTCTGGCAAGTAAAGCAGTAATCATTATTCAAACTACATTTTCAGAAGAGATTTCCACTAATATCTAAGAAGCATATCTTTAGATAAGCAGGCGCCTAAATATTAATTACTAAACTATTGGCATATAGCATTCTGTTAAATGGTTTAGGTGTGTGCCACTCATTGCGCAAATGCCATACAGGTGTCATGTATCACCACATTCAGTTCATTTTGCGTTTCATCAATCATCGGCGTCACCACAGGTGGTAACGTGGGGTACGATTAAGATTTTGACTTAAAACTTTCGTGACTGCAGGAATTAAAATTCTTGGTTCTTTCGGTAAAGTCATGTAGATAGAAAATAAAAATAAATAAAAATATTACAAATAAAAGCAAAAAAACCACGGCGTATCGTGACTTTACCAAAAGAACCAAAAATATGGTTGCTAAGCTTGTGGCTTTACAGAGATTAAGTATAACAGTTGCAGCATTTGCAAAGATGGGTTTTGACAGTATTTTTAGTTAATTATCATAATAATTATATTTATATAGCAACCTTCATACAGGATCTGGAAGCGCTGTACAAGACAGCAGCAGCAAACGCTGAGCAAAAAAAAAAATACTTGTGAAAACAATAAATGAATGCTAAATTACATTTACTGAATTAACTAAAAGTTAACTAAAAGAATAAACATAAGTGTATAAATACGTTTTGAGACGTGTGGGAAAATGTCAGAGATCCTGAGATCTCGTGGAAGAGCGTCCCAGAGACTGTGGGCTCCATGGCAACATCTCGGTTGCCCATTGACTTAAACCCCTTACAGTGAGGGAAAAAAGTATTTGATCCCCTGCTGATCTTGTACGTTTGCCCACTGACAAAGAAATGATCAGTCTATAATTTTAATGGTAGGTTTATTTGAACAGTGAGAGACAGAATAACAACAAAATCCAGAAAAACGCATGTCAAAAATGTTATAAATTGATTTGCATTTTAATGAGGGAAATAAGTATTTGACCCCCTCTCAATCAGAAAGATTTCTGGCTCCCAGGTGTCTTTTATACAGGTAACGAGCTGAGATTAGGAGCACACTCTTAAAGGGAGTGCTCCTAATCTCAGCTTGTTACCTGTA